TTCTATCATAAATACATAATATACTATACATATATTATACATATAAATACTTCTCATACCACGCCTTTCGATAAATGCATAATAACAACTATTATACAGCAGTCAAACTCAAACACACTTTACTGCGTTCGTATCACTCTACATAGCTCTGTACGAAGAACTCCTAAGGACCGCCTTATAAACTCTTCTCGGCAAACTCACCAGGCCGAACTGATTGGAGATAACGTACGAGATCGGCGTGCTCGGTCGTGTCTTCTTACCGTACCTTCACCAACTCTCAGCCATCACCATACCAACAACCCTTACACGAAATCTGCCGGCAGCGGGTGCTCACGACGAGCCTCCTCCTCCTGTAGCCTCTGTTGGGCGCTCTTATGAACGATGAACCTGCGGGACGATGTTGAACTCAGATGGACCTTCCCCTCTCACTTGGGATGTTGTTGTCTATAAACTTTCTGCTCAGTAGCAGTCCGGCATTTGCCGTCATCGAGTGCTGACTTATTCAAATACCGGAAATCCTGCAAATTCCACATCGTCAACCTATCGATGCTGAGAGACCCCACCAAGACGTTCACTTGGGCAACAGGCTTGGGCGTATGGCTCTTCCATTTCGTGGTCACCTCTTTGGCTCCCTCGGGATCGGCGCCCTAGCCAAATGCAAGTCTAAGAAGTCTCAACCGACGATCGAAAGATACCCAAGGTTGCAACCATAAAGATACAAAATAGGTCTGGAGTTGACCTTCCATCACTCAAATGGCTTCATCTACTACTACTGAGCGTCTCGAAATTTCCTTAGATTTTCAGCGGAAATCCCATCCAAGAATACCTGGCTCTTGCCATAGACGAAGCCTCCACTCGGCAGGTCGTAGTATGTCGGCTTAGCGTGACCAACCTCATCTCGCATCAACAGAGGATTCCTATTCCTCGTGAAGTAATGGTCGGCAGCAGTCATTTCAACAGAGTCAACTGACGAACCTCCCAAGTCCCAACGGAATTTCCGTTCCCTAGTAGTAGTAGTAGTAGTAGTAGTAGTAGTAGTAGTAGTAGTAGTAGTAGTAGTAGTAGTAGTAGTAGTAGTAGTAACACTACGCCAACTAGGGAATGCGAGACTATCGCATGCCCATCATGGAAAGGCCCCATGCTTCAGTTGCTAGTATAACCGGAGCTACTGTCGTCATCGTCATAGTCCTTTCGACGTATAAAGCGGCAGT